GAATTTGTAAGTTTTCCTTCCTCTTGTATTTTTTGGACTAGTTTGAGAAAAATAAGTATTAACTCTTTATATGTTTGTTAGAATTTGCCAGTGAAGGTGTCTGGTCCTGGACCTTTGTTTTTTGGGAGACTTCAAATTACTGATTCAGTTTCATTGCTGGTAATTGGTCTGTTCAAATTTTCTATTTCTTCCTGCTTTAGTTTTGGTAAGTATATGTTTCTAGAATTTTTTTTTTATTTCAATTCAATTAGCCAACATATAGTGCATCCTTAGTTTCAGATGTAGAGTTCAGTAATTCATCAGTTGCGTATAACACCCAGTGCTCATCACATTACGTGCCCTCCTTAATTGCCCATCACCAAGTTACCCCATCCCCCCCAACTCACCTCCCCTCCGGCAACCCTCAGTTTGTTTCCTATAGTTAAGAATCTCTCATAGTTTGTCTACCTCTCTGATTTCTTCCCAGTTTTCCCTCCCTTCCCCTATGATCCTCTGCACCATTTCTTATATTCCACATATGAGTGAAACCATATAATTGTCTTTCTCTGATTGACTTATGTCGCTCAGCATAATACCCTCCAGTTTCATCCACATCGAAGTAAATGGTAAGTATTCATCCTTTTGATAGCTGAGTAATATTCCATTGTATATATGAACCACATCTTCTTTATCCATTCATCTGTTGATGGACATCTGGGTTCTTTCCATAGTTTGGCTATTGTGGACATAGCTGCTCTAAACTTTGGGGTACAAGTACTCCTTTGGAGCACTACATTTGTATCTTCTTTTTTTTTCATTTTTTACCCTTTATTCTTTTTTTCTTGTTTTTTATCAACATAAAATGTATTATTTCTTTCAGGGGTACACATCTGTGATTCATCAGTCTTACACAATTCACAGTGCTCACCATAGTACCTACCCTCCCCAGTGTCCATCACCCAGCCACCCCATCCCTCCCAGACCCCTCCACTCCAGCAACCCTCAGTTTGTTTCCTGAGATTAAGAGTCTCTTATGGTTTGTCTCCCTCTGTGGTTTCATCTTGTTTCATTTTTCCCTCCCTTCCCCTATGATCCTCTCTCTTGTTTCTCAAATTCCTCACATCAGTGAGATCATATGATACTTGTCTTTCTCTGATTGACTTATTTCGCTTAGCATAATACCCTCTAGTTCCATCCACGTTGTTGCAAATGGCAAGATTTCGGGGTTTTTGATGGCTGCATAATATTCTATTGTATATATATACACCACATCTTTATTCATTCATCTGTTGATGGACATCTAGGCTCTTTCCATAGTTTGGTTTTTGGATATTGCTGCTGTAAACATTGGGGTGCATGTACCCCTTCGGATCACTACATTTTTATCTTTGGGGTAAACACCCAGTAGTGCAATTGCTGGGTCATAGGGTAGCTCTATTTTCAACTTTTTGAGGAACCTCCATACTGTTTTCCAGAGTGGCTGCTCCAGCTTGCATTCCCACCAACAACATAGGAGGGTTCCCTTTTCTTTCTCCACATCCTCGCCTACATCTGTTGTTTCCTGACTTAATTTTAGCCGTTCTGACTGGTGTGAAGTGGTATCTCATTGAGGTTTTGATTTGGATTTCCCTGATGCTGAGCGATGTTGAGCACTTTTTCATGTGTCTGTTGGCCATTTGGATGCCTTCTTTGTAGAAATATCTGTTCATGTCTTCTGCCCATTTCTTGATTGGACTATTTGTTCTTTGGTGTTGAGTTTGATAAGTTGTTTATAGATTTTGGATACTAGCCCTTTGTCTGATATGTCATTTGCAAATATCTTCTCCCATTCTGTCTTTTGGTTTTGTTGACTGTTTCCTTTGCTGTGCAGAAGCTTTTCATCTTGATGAAGTCCCAATAGTTCATTTTTGCCCTTGCTTCCCTTGCCCTTGGTGATGTTTCTAGAAAGAAGTTGCTGCAGCTGAGGTTGAAGAGGTGTTCTCCTCAAGGATTTTGATGGATTCCTGTCTCACATTTAGGTCTTTCATCCATTTTGAGTCTATTTTTGTGTGTGGTGTAAGGAAATGGTCCAGTTTCATTCTTTTGCATGTGGCTGTCCAATTTTCCCAACACCATTTGTTGAAGAGAATTTTTTCCATTGGATATACTTTCCTGCTTTGTCAAAGATTAGTTGACCATAGAGTTGAGGTACATTTGTACCTTCTTTATTTTTCTAGAATTACCCATTTCTTCTAGGTTGTCTAATTTGTTGGCATATAGGTTTTCATAATATTCTGTTACAGTTGTTTGCATTTCTCTGGTGTTGGTTATTATTTCTCCTCTTAGTGATTTTTATTTGGGTCCTCTTTCTGTTTCCATGAGTCCTCCTAGAGTTTATCAATTTTGTGATCTTTTCAAATAAATAGCTCCTAGTTTCATTGATCTGTTCTATTGTTTTTTTAGGTTTTTTTTAAAGATTTTATTTATTTGAGAGAGAGAGTGTGTGTGTGTGTGTGTGTGTGTGCACAATCAGGGTGAGTGGCAGGCAGAGGGAGAGGGAGAAGCAGACTCCCTGCTGAGCAGAGAGCCCGATGTGGGGCTCGATCCCAGGACCCTAGGATCATGACCTGAGTCAAAGGCAGACAGTTAACCTGACTGAGCCACCCAGGCGCCCCTGTTTTTTTAGTTTTTATATCATTTATTTCTCCTCTAATCTTTATTTCCTTCGTTTGCTAGGTTTGGGTTTTATTCTTATTTTTCTAGCTCCTTTAAGTGTAAGGTTAGGTCATTTTGAGATTATTCTTGCTTCTTGAGGTAGGGCCCGTATTGCTCTAAACTTCCCTTTTAGAGACACTTTTGCTGCATCCCAAATATTTTGGACCATTGTGTTTTTATTTTCATTTGTTTCCATGTAATTTTTTATTTCTTCTTTGATTTCCTGGTTGACCCATTCATTGTTTTAGTAGCATGTTATTTAATCTCCATGTATTTGTGCTCTTTCCATATTTTTCTTGTGGTTGATTTCTGGTTGATTTCATAGCATGTGGTCAGAAAAGATGCATGGTATGACTTTAATTTTTTTGAATTTGTTGAGACTTGTTTTGTGGCCCTGTATGTGATCTCTTCTGGAGAATGTTCCATGTGCATTTGAAAAGAATGTATTCTTCTGTTTAGTATGGAATGTTCTGAATGTTAAATCTATCTGGTCCAGTGTGTCATTCAAAACCAGTTTCCTTGTTGATTTTCTGTTTGGATGCTCTGTCCATCGATGTGAGTGGGGTGTTAAAGTATTACTATTGTATTACTGTCAGTTATTTCCTTCATGTTTGTTATTAACTATTTTAGGTATTTATGTGCTCCCATGTTGGATGCATAAATATTTACAATTGTATCCTTTTTTTTTTTTTAAAGATTTTATTTATTTGAGAGAGAGAGAGAGCGCACAAACAGGGGTAGGGGCAGAGGGAGAAGCAGGCTTCCCGCCAAGCAGGGAGCCCGATGTGGGACTATCCCAGGACTCTGGGACCATGACCTGAGCTGAAGGCAGACGCTTAACCGACTGAGCCACCCAGGCGCCCCCACAATTGTTCTATCTTCTTGTTGGATTTTCCCCTTTATTATTACATAGTGTCCTTCTTGGTCTTATTACAGTCTTTGTTTTAAAGTCTAGTTTGTCTGGGGGAGCCTGGTTGGCTCAGTTGGAAGAGCAAGTGACTCTTGATCCTTGGGGTCATGAGTTTGAGCCCCATGGTGGGTGTAGAGATTACTTAAATAAACTAAAAAAAAAGTAAGTCTAGATGTTTGATAGAAGTACTACTACCCCAGCTTTGACATTCAGTTGCATGATAAATATTTCTCCATCCCCTCACTTTCAAAATTTAGGTGTCTTTTAGTCTGAAATGAGTCTCCTGTAGGCAGTATATATATGGATCTGGTTAAAAGTAATTTTTTAATCTTAATTTGGTATGCTCATTTCAGACAGAAGACAAAATAAAATCACCTGAATCACAATTTAATTTATATGTGAGGCCAAAAGCACTATAAAATAATATATAATGTTAATATATAATGTTAATAGTGGTTATTTTGGGTGGTAGGGTTGTGGATGATTTTTCTTAAACAAGAGAGTATTACTTTGAAATGGGAAAAAGGAAACTTTTTTTCTTTAATGTAAAAACATGCACTCCAAAATCTTACCTATGAAAACCCCCAGGGGCTCCTGGGTGGCTCAGTCAGTTAAGCATCTGCCTTTGGCTCAGGCCATGATCCCAGGGTCCTAGGATCGAGTCCCACATCGGGCTCCCTGCTTGGCAGGGAGTCTGCTTCTCCCTCTGCCCCCCAACCCCCGCTTGTGTTCTCACTCTCATGCTCTCTCTCAAATCAAACAAACAAACAAACACACACCACCCAGATCTCCTTTTTTGTATTTTACTCTTTGGATGTTGATTGGTTATTTATACCACTGAATGAAGAACCATGTTTCAACTTTAAATGCCAAGGACAGTTTTTAATTCAACTTTTTAGTCTCTTTAAATGGCACATAAAAAAGGAGATATCTTATGGTTGGCATATTAAGGTGACCCATCCTGTTCAATAGGTTTTTATTGCCATATTTAAACACCTTACCATTGTATGTGTTTTACGTGCATTACTTTCAATACTGTTGAATTAATATTTTTAAAGTTTGTATTTCCTTCCTAGTTTAATTTCAGTATCCCAAGATTCCGGGGCCACTTCATTGCTCAAGGTAAGAAAACACAGGGCCCTGCCAGTACTATGGAAGAAGATATAAACTAGATTGATTCTGGCTTTTCATTCCTGCCTTCAGTAAATCAGGTTAAATACTATGCTTATATTTCACTGGTTATTGTTTCTAGGCTCAAATTTTTAATATTTGATGGTTTGTATTTTGTTTGCATTGCACAAAGTACTTTACACAAAGTACTTGTGTAAGTGTTTACACAAAGAACACATTCTGTTATTTCCCATATAACGTCCCTTCTGTATGAAGTAAGTTAAAAAGAATCAGTCTCACAAAGATATTAATTGCCTTGGTTTTATTTTCATTCTGTGTTACCTGTATCATTTCAGACTACCTTTTACTACTATGGTCCTGAGGTAAAACCCAAATTTTTGAATAGGTTAACAATAATTGGATTTGTATTGATATTGAGTACTTTAAGAAATCAACTTTTTTGTTTTATGCCATCTTGTAATCTTTATTAAAAGAGGCTCAGAAAAAGAGAGCACAAACTTCCTTTGTTCTTATGCTGTAAGACCTCTACATTTCCAGATGGTCTATATAGATAGTTATGTGAAATAAATATCCATAGTTGAAATACAAACACTGAATTTCATTGTGCAAATACAGAAACCTATTTTTTTTTAAAAATACAGTTCGTTTCTAACCATATCAGAGCTCTGTTTTACAATTAATGAAAGATTTCAAAAAATACAAAGTTACACCAGTCTGATCTTAATATGCCCTGGTATTCCTGTCTCACTTGTAAAGTGGTCATAAGAAAGATTAGACAAATTTTAGTTCTTCTGGGGCTTTTCTAAGGTTAAATGCATTCTTATTTGGTAATAAAAAGTAGGAGATATTATTTTCCCCCATTTAATATAAAAACATCCCATTTACTTTGTAAGAGTTCTCAGCCTACCTCTCGTTAAGGTTAATTTATTTCTTATTGAATGTTTTATCTAAATTTAGACAAATAGCAACTGATCACCTTTCTGTTCTGTGTTTATCATGTCTTTCCTTCAATCCCTACTGAATAAGTGGTTTTTTTCCCCTATTAGCAGTCTAGGTGTAATATAGCCAGATTTCTGTTTCTGGCCTCTAAATGACTGAACTTCAAATAATTAATCTTGAAAAAATATGGTTACCTTCATTTTAATAACAAAGTTTTCAAGGTGCTCTTCAAAAATGGAGTTGTTAGATTTGTTGAAATTATAACTTAACTTACTAAGACAGTTAATGTGCTTTTGGATTAAATGGGCAACTACATACTCAGAAGAAATGTTACGAGAATCTAAGAACTGAATAATAAAAATCTATTGTGTGTTTCTATTTTTTTTTTTTTTGAGGACTTTTGTTCTTTGGAAATTGAGGGCAATGTGAATACATTGATAGTCTGGGATTCGGGCTTCTGGCCTGGAAAGATCAGTGGTTTTTCTCTGTGTTTGGGTTTTATTTGTTTATTCGGGATAACGGACTATGCATGCATGTGAAGGAGATACAGAAATATTTTGTGAACTAATTATTAGTGAAAAAATTAATGAAAGAAAAACGGCACAAGCTCAAGATACAAAGTTAGCATTATTTTTGAAGTATTCAAAGTTGAGAGAGCAGAGTCACCATAGGTACAGAATTTAGATTGTAGCATTATTTTTGAAGAAGTATTCAAAGTTGAGAGCGCAGAGTCACCATAGGTACAGAATTTAGATTGTAATTATGAATCACAATCCTTGGTGACTGAATCTTCTGGAGAATTTCACTGAATAAAAAGGAAGAGGTAAAAAATGCTTCTGACTGAAAGGATAACGAAAGAAATAGGAATAAGCATGAAAAGACTACATAACCTTTTCCTGAGTCATTCATTGCTTCTGATCCTCAGATAAGGTCTTGCCAGCCTAGGTGGTACTGCCCCCCACCAGTGATTTCCTGGAGGGCTCGGGGGCAGTTCCAATTATAGCTAGGCCAGAGTGCTGTGCATGGAGGTGGACTGCACTTTACCCACTCTGGTGTAGTCCCCAAAAATGTTCTATTTACAGTGACTCAGACATTACAAGCCATTCTCTTATAAACAATAAATAAGCCTGTTGAAAACTGGGAGCACATGAAAACTGCCGTGAACACCTTAGTTAAAATGTTCCCTTATGGATGTGTAATGGACTGGATGACAAAAATAAGACACCTGGAGAACTGCCTCAAATCTAAAGGATGGTCAAGAAAAAAGAGCAGGAAATTGATATGTATATACAGTGGCTATGGGTTCACTGGCTTACACTAACTTCCCTCCAGTAAGGGTAACAATTTTTCCTCAGTCATCAAATAGAGCCTTAGATGATGTCACCCACAGAAAGGGAAAAGTGGAAAAATAAGACCCTTTCTGATTGATCATGTGGAACCTTCTATGACTGCCAGAAAAGTAATCTGGATTAAATCGTGTCAAGAAATAGGTTATAAATGTACAAATATGTACAAGGATAAGCTTAGAATTTTTCCCTCATTCAGAGAGAAGTTTCTGGATAATTTCAGGAATACTACTGCCCGTTGCTTAGGGATTGTCCTCCCCTTTTCAGAAAGAATATGAATACTGTATATTATGGTAACAATGTGTGAAAAACCAGGCCTGAAGACACCTGTACAATGTCTTGGACATTCTTGTGGTTTAGGAGACAGGTTTATGAGTTTCTGCAGAGGATAGGTTTAGCAAACGAATCATCCTGCTATTTTCCCATGAAAACTCAATAATGGAATTGAGGGGTATCCATGATTTTCTATGAAGGAAAAAAACTAAGTAATATTACATTTTAGCCTCCAAGTGGAGAAAAGCACCAAGTTTCTCTGTGATTTCATTAAAGCAAACTGAGTTCTCAAATCTTACTCTACTTTTCTAACTAAAGACAAAACTGTTCTGGTTCTAGTGTTATTTTCCACAACAGAAAACTCCCCCTGCTATGGTTTTATTTAAAAACCAACCCCAAATCACAACCAAATTTACATGCTGTCTTTATCCACATACAGAATTCTCACAGCCAGCAAGGCAACTTACACATAAAAGGCTTTCCAAAGAAGTAAGCCCAATTCCTTATTTACAGAAGTATTCCTAATTATTATTTTGAAATAAATTTTGGTATCTGTTTCAGACTCAATGGTTCATAATATTTTCCACATATCAACAGCTGCAAATCCAAGATATTAAAGAAATACTTAATCTATTCAAATGTAGTCCTTACCATCTCTTTAAAGTTGGCTGAAAAGTGTTAGATACACAAACACGATGCTTTTGTGTATGGGTTACAATATAAACTCCTTTCCACAAAGGCAATATGTTGTAAAATTGATGTTTCAAGGCCACTGAAGTGACGACATAGTTTCAGTCAAGCATTAAGAAGTTCATCATCTGAGTGTCCAATAGCATCTGGGTTTGAAAGTGGATCCAAGTCTGCAAATAGATTGAACCAGGCTGACATGTCTTGGTTACCATTGTTGGGAGCTATTAAAGAAGAAAAGACACATTGAAGAGTCTCAGGTTTTTAAAATCACATTACTGTACAATTTACATGATTTTACTTTTTTCTTTTTAAATGCCAGATACTTCTACTTTGTTCTCCTGGGATCCTAGCTTTTATTTTTAAGATTTTATTTATTTGAGAGAGAGAGAGCACAAGTGAGGGCAGGGGAGTGGCAGGCACAGGGAGAGGGAGAAGCAGACTCCCCACAAAGCAGGGAGCCCGATGCAGGACTCAATCCCAGGACCCTGGGATCATGATCTGAGCCGAAGGCAGACGCTTAACTGACTGAGTCACCCAGACGCCCCTCCTTGATAATTTTGAAAAGCTAATAATGTAGGTACCTTGTGCTTTGCTGAGGCCCTTCTATGTAAGTAATTTTATGTTGCTCTGAGAAATGATTAAAAGTGAACAGGCAGGCAGTAATAGTATTAGAAACACCGATAATTTATAGAAGTCTCTCAGGTACATTTCAAAAGTAAAAGTAACCTTTGTTCCTATAAAGTAGGAACATTACATTTATAAACTTGGTGCTTAAAATCTATTATAAAATATTAAACATGAGGGGAAGAAAATCCTTCTATCACATTAACATACCCAACAGTTCTCATTTCAGTTTACAGTTGTCTTTTCCATGTGCATTTTACAAATTTTTGATATGTATTTTATGGAATGCATTGTGTCTCAGATACAACTTCCTGTTAACCAACTCCCTCTCTCCTCCCTGTGGAGACTGGAAAATCCCATGTATCAGTAGTCTACAGGTTGTACTGTGCCAGAGATTTCAAGGATATACATTTAGGCTGAAGGCTAAAACTAGTAAAAGAATGCACAATGGCACAGTGAGTCATCTCAGAAGGCTAGGCTCTTGAGGGTTGAGGGGTCCAGTAGCAGCACTGAGACCCAGAGAACAATCTAAAGACCTAGATATGATATGAGAGACACAAGGGGCAGAGAATGGAAGGCAGTCATACTCAGAAGAATCTAAGGCAACCCTCTTTTACAAACATGGTTTCCCACTTTCTGCAGGTCAGAGGGCTGTAGTTTGTACTGTGGGGATTCCAAGCCTTAAAGAGCAGGGAGAATGAAAGGCTTCTCTGTGTGTCCACTTCTATTTCTAGGAGCCCCAAGTTAGTGATACCCACACAAGTTGTGGCCTTGAGTCCTCAGCACACTACCTGTTAATAAGTAATAATGGGCAAGTCATTTAACCTCACATTTAACCTCTTATTTCCTCATCTGTAAAGTAATAATCATTTAGCATTAAATCAGGATACCTGAGAGGGAACAGGAGGCCTATTAATAATTATGCTGGGGTGCCTGTGTGGTTCAGTTGGGTAAGCATCTGACTCTTGATTTTGGCTCAGGTCATGATCTCAGGCTTGTGAGATCCAGCCCTGCATCAGGCTCCATGCTCAGCAGGGAGTCTGCTTCTCTCCCTCTTCTCCTTCTGCCTCGCCCCCCCACCATGCTCACTTGCTTTCTCTCTCAAAATAAATAAATAAAATCTTTTTTAAAAAATGATGCTGGAAGAAGCAAAAATCTCAAGCAACCTTACACCTAAAGGAGCTGGAAAATGAACAAAACCCCAAGCCAGTAGAAGGAAATAATGAAGATTAGACTAGAAATTAACAAAACAGAAACCAAAAAAATAATAAAACAGGTCAAACCAGGAGCTGGTTCTTTGAAAAGATCACAAAATTGATAAACCTTTGGCCAGACTTATCAAAGGACTCAAAATCAGAAATGAAAGAGAAGAAATAAACACCACAGAAAGGATTCTAAGAGACCATTATGAAAAATTATATGCCAACAAACTGGACAACCTAGAAGAAATGGATAAATTTGTAGAAATATATAATCTCCCAAAACAATCAGGAATAGGAAATTTTGAACAGACCAATTCCTAGAGATGAAATTGAATCAGTAATTTAAAAAAAATCCCAACAAACAAAAAGTCCAGGACCAGATGCCTTCACTGGCAAAGAGTTAATACCTATTCATCTCAAACTGTTCCAGAAAATACGAAAGGAAGGGAATCTTCCAAATTCATTCTATGAAGCCAGCATTACCCTGATACCAAAACCAAAGACATCACCAAAAAGAGACAACTACAGGCCATATCCCTGATGAACACAGATGTAAAAATCCTCAACAAAATAGTAGCAAATCAAATCCAACAATACATTAAAAAAAAAAATCACCATGATCAAGTGGGATTTATTCCTGGGATGCAAGGGTGAGTCAATATTTGCAAATCAATCAACGAGATACATCAAGAGAAAGGATAAAAGTCTTATCATTTCAATAGATGCAGAAAAAAATTTGACAAAGTCTAACATCCATTTAGGATAAAAACCCTCAATAAAGCAGGTCTAGATAGAGGGAACATACCTCAACATAATAAAGCCCTTAAATAAAAAACCCACAGCTAACACCATACTAAATGGGGAAAAACTGAGAGCTTTTCCCCTAAGGTCAGGAACAAGACAAGGATGTCTACTCTCACCACTTTTATTCAACATAGTAATAGAAGCCCTAGCCAGAGCAATAAGACAACAAAAAGAAATAAAAGGCATCCAAATTGTTAAGGAAGAAGTAAAATTTTCACTATTTGCAGATGACATGTACTATATATAGAAAATCTGGAAGACTCTACACCAAAAAAACTGCTAGAACTGATAAATTCAGTAAAGTTGAAGGATACAATATCAATGTACAGAGATTTGTTGCATTTCTATAGCTAATAAGCAAAAAGTGAAATTAAAACAATCCTATTTACATTTGCACTAAAAATAGTAAAATACTCAGGAATAAACTTAACCAAGGAGGTCGAAGACCTGTACTCTGAAAACTATAAAACACTGATAGAAGAAATTGAAGATGACACAAACAAATGGAAAGATACTCCATGCTCATGGGCTGGGAGACCAAATACTGTTAAATGTCCATACTACCCGAAGCAACCTACAGATTTAATGTAATCCCTATCAAAATACTAACAACACTTTTCACAGAACTTGGAACAAATAATGCTAAAATTTGTATGGAATCACCAAAGACCCTGAATAACCAAAGCAATCTTGAAAAAGAACAAAACTGGAGGTATCACAATCCGAGATTTCAAGATATATTACAAAGCTAGTAATCAAAACAGTGTGGTACCAAAAAAAAGAGAAAGAAGCAGTATGGCACTGGCACAATAAACACATAGATCAATGGAACAGAATACAGAACCCAGAAATAAACCCACAATCATATGGTCCATTATGACAAAGGAGGCAAAAAATGCAATGGGAAAAAGTATCTTCAACAAATAGTGTTGTGAAAACTGGACCACTTTTTTATACCATACATAAAAATAAACTCAAAATGGATTAAAGACCTAAATGTGAGACCTAAAGCAATAAAAATCCTAGAAGAGGGCACAGGCAGTAATTTCTCTGACATTGGTCATAGCAACTTCTTTCTAGATAGGCCTCCTGAGGCAAGAGAAACAAAAGCAAATATAAACTATTGGGGCTACATCAAAATAAATCTTCTGCACAGCAAAGGAAACAATCAACAAAAAAGCCTACTGAATGGGATATGTGTCAATGATGTATCTGATAAAGGGTTCATATCCAGAATATATAAAAAACTTACACAAATCAATACCCAAAAAACAAAGAATCTAATTAAAAATGGTCAGAAGACATGAATGGACATTTCTCCAAAGAAGACATCCAGACGGCCAACAGACACAAGAAGAGATGTTCAACATCACTCATCAGGGAAATGCAAATCAAAACCACAATGAGGTATTACCTCATACCTGTCAGAATGGCTAAAATCAAAAGCACAAGAAACAAGTGTTGGGGGGCTGTAGAGAAAAAGGAACTCTTGTACACTGTTGGTGGGAATGCAAACTGGTACAGCCACTGTGGGAAATAGTGTGGAGGTTCCTCAAACAATTAGAAATAGAATTAGCATATGATCCAGTAATTCCACTACCAGATATTTACCCAAAGAGTATGAAAACACTAAACTGAAAAGATATATGCACCCCTATGTTAACTGCAGCTTTATCTGCAATAGCCAAAGTGCAGAAACAGTCCAAGTGTCCATCAAAAGATGAATGGATAAAGAAGATGTGGTGTGTGTGTGTGTGTGTGTGTGTGTATGGACTATGGAGTCGGCCATAAAGAAGAATGAAATCTTGGGGCACCTGGGTGGCTCATTTGGTTAAGCGTCTGCCTTTGGCTCAGGTCATGATCCCAGGGTCCTGGGATCGAGCCCCCTGTGGGGTTCCCTGCTCAGTGGAGAGCCTGTTTCTCCCTCTTCCTCTGCCCAACTGCCCCCCCGTTCATGCTCTCTCACTCTTTCTTGCTCTATCTCAAATAAATAAAATCTTTAAAACAAACAAAAAAAGAATGAAATCTTGCCATCTGCAACAACATTGATGGATATGGAGGGCATAATTCTAAGTGAAGTAAAGTCAGTCAGAGAAAGGTAAATACCATATAATTTTACTCACTGTGGAATTTAAGAAATAAAACAAATGAGCAAAGGAAAAAGAAAGAGAAAATAACAGACTCTTAAATATAGAGAAATGGGGGTTACCAGAGGGAGCATGGAGGGGGATGGGTGAAATAGGTGAAGGGGATTAAGAGCACACTTACCATGATGAGCACTGGATGTTGTATGGAAGGGCTGAGTCACTATATTGTACACCCGAAACTAACAACACTGGATGTTGACTATACTAGAATTTTTTTAAAAGTAACTGAAAAAATAATAATTATACTGGAAGAATAGATGTCAACGAGGATATGTCATTCCTGTGGTCATTCCAGTAATACCTGACCTTCTTGGTGCAGCTGTGGAGAGGTTCTGATGAGTATATGAAAATTCTACAGCATTTTACAAACATGGGATGGTTTTATATTCATCTGTCACAATGGAAAATGAAGGTCTTAGTTACATTATTTTCATGGGGCTCTCCTTGTGTGTATTTTTCTGGCCTCCAGAAACTCTTATGAAACAAAGAGTAAATGAATTATACTGAAATGTAATAAATGTATAGAAAAAAAGAGCCTAAATTAACTATTAATAGTTTTCATAAAGTAAAAGCAACTGTAAACAATATCAGTTCAAGAAACAGAAAAGACTACTCCTTAGAAGCTACCCTTGTAACACCCTTCCAGCCACTGTTCACACTCCAGCTAGCCAACACAGAGATAAATCCCATCTCAGGCTATTAGCAACAGTGTTGTGACAACATTCTTGTGTATATATTTTGGTAAACAAATGGATGCATTTCTCTTGGTTATGCACTTAGGAGTGGAAATTCTTGGTCTTGTGTATTATATGTATGTATGTTCAGTTTTAGTAGAAATTACTAAACAGTTTTCCAAGTGGCGATGTGACCCTGCACACCCACAAGCACTGTCCACAAACTTGTCATCACATGGGATTTTCTATTTTTCATTTAAGCCATTTTGGTAGGTGGATAATGGAACTGCATACTGTTGTGTGTATGTGTTTTTTTTAAAGATTTTATTTAGTCATTTGACAAAGAGAGACACAGCGAGAGAGGGAACACAAACGGGGAGGAGTGGGAGAGGGAGAAGCAGGTTTCCCACTGAGCAGGGAGCCCGATGCGGGGCTCAATCCCAGGATCCTGGGATCATGACCTGAGCTGAAGGCAGACACTTAACGACTGAGCCACCCAGGCACCCCCTGCATATGGGTTTTAAATTGCATTTCCTTAATGATTAACGAAGTGGGGTAACGAATTTGGGGGGTAATGAATTTTAAAGCTGTTAAGAATTTCAATTTTTATTAAATTGAAGCCTCAACGATCATAGGCAAATAGCAGCTTTCCCAGTACTTCTATTTCCCAACACTTCTTTCCCAATGTTCACTTATGAAATTTATTTTATAGTCTCTATTTTAAATGATTAAACACAACTTTAGTTTTAGTGGGTTTTAGAAAAGAAAATAATAAATAGGCTGAATCCCAAAGGGACGGCTGTATTCTGAATTGGCTAATGTGAATCTGTCATTTGCTTGGAGTTGATGGATTTTCCAATTGATTTATCCCAAAGTACTGGAAAGAACAGAATTCCAAGGGGCGCCTGGGTGGCTCAGTTGGTTAAGCGACTGCCTTCAGCTCTGGTCATGATCCCAGGGTCCTGGGATCGAGCCCGGCATCGGGCTCCCTGCTCGGCGGGAAGCCTGCTTCTCCCTCTCCCACTCCCCCCGCTTGTGTTCCCTCTCTCTCTGTCTCTCTGTCTCTCTCTGTCAATTAAATAAATAAAATCTTTAAAAAAAAAAAAAAGAACAGAATTCCAAGATTCTACAATGATACATATCAACAAATGAAAAAAATGAGGGACAAGAGAAAGCTGTTCCATACAGTTAGAATGTCAACTAATAAATGTAGAAAGAATGAGGAAAGAGAAAACCACCATTTGGCAACAACCAGAGTAATAAGTATTTCATGCAAAGAATTATCAATGAATGCTAAACTAGTGGGTGAAACTTTGGCAGAAACAAGCCATTTACACAGTTTCAAAATATTTTCCCACAAGATATTACAAAGGGAAAAATATAAGAGTAATTTTATAGTGCAGTCACCCAGGAGACACCATCTTAACCAACTGATCAAAGTTAACATCACAAGCAATGGGACAATTCCGACATCATGTGCCTCCTGATATTAAGAAGGCACAACATCACTCCTTTTATGCTATTCCTGCCAAAATCCCTAACCTGAATCTAATTATGAAAAAAACATCAGATAAACCCAACTCGAGGAATATTCTACAAATTAATGGCCTCTATGCTATAGAGAAGTGAAGATGATGAAAGACCAAGATTTAGGAACTGTTCCAGATTAAAAACAATTAAAGAGACATGACACTAAATGCAATGTGGGAATCTGGATTGGATCCTGCATTAGGAAAGGAAAAAAAAAGTTCTCTTTTGTTATAAAAAACACCTGGGGCGCCTGGGTTGCTCAATTGGTTAAGCGCCTGCCTTTGGCTCAGGCTCAGGTCAATGATCCTGGAGTCCCCAGGATCGAGCCCCAAGTTGGGCTCCCTGCTCAGCGGGAAGTCTTCTTCTCCCTCTGCCCCTCACCTCGCTCATGCTCTCTCACAAATGAATAAAATCTTTAAAAAAAAAATTAGTGGGGCAATTGGCAAATCCGGTCTATAAGGTCTATAAATTAGATAATAGCACTATGATGCTATTAATTTCCTGTCACATGCTACAACATGGATGAACCATGAAGATATTAGACTAAATGAAATAAGCCAGTCATGAAAAGACAAATACTGTATGAGGTACCTAGAGTAGTCAAATTCATAGAAACAGAAACTATAATGGTGGTTAGCAGAGGAAGGGGAAAGAGGATTTGTTGTTTAATGTTTGATAAAGTTTCAGATTTGCAAAATGAAAAAGCTCTGGAAATCTGTTTCACAACACTACGCATATACATAACATTACTGAACTGTTCACTTAAAAATGGTTAAGGTGGTAAATTTCGTTATGTGTTTCCTACTATAATAAAAATGCGGAGGGAGTGCTGTGGTTAGAAAATCATCATTTTTTTACCACCCATCATAGTAAAGACTGAATCAGGCCAAAAGTAACACTGGATGCTAAATCTAAGTAGAAACTCTGATGATGAGTGGACTTGTGCACAAAGCGTCTCCTCACGGACTGCTGAGTAATTGCAAGAGAGGATAAAATAACATAAACTAGTAATTATTTAGGAGAAAAATTGGACAATGCTTTGGATGGGTGGTTAGAATTAACATCACCAATGAGGGAGAAATGGCGAGCATCAACTTTCAGATGTGAAACCCAGAGAGAGGAGTGTCACCGGTGCAGTACTCCAGGCAAGAATGAAGAACCTGAATTTAATCACAATAAAATTCAGATCAAACTGAAATAAGGAATATTCCATTAAAAACAAAGAAAAATGGAGCAGAATATAATAATATATTCTATTAAAATGCCCATGTTCAAAAAATCAAAGGAAAGCTGTGGAAATGTTTCAGATTAAAAGAGGCTAAAGAGACATGACAACTGAATATAAGACCCTAGACTTGCTGTCCAGAGGGAGAAAGTGCTATAAGGGATATGACTGGGTCAGCTCACAAAACTAGAAGACAAATACATGGTAGATGATGGAAAAAGTATTATGTTAATATTAAGTTTCCTAAAGTTTACAACCATACTGTGGTTATGCAAGAGAATATACCAGTTCTTAGGAAATATACACTGAAGTATTTTGGGGTAAATGGTCATGATGTATGTAACTCACCCTCAAGTGGTTTGGGATAAAATAACACGCATTACACACATACACACGTCTACATAAAGCAAAATATTAACCGTAGATGAATCTGGATAAAGGATATACAGGTGTTCTTTGTGCTATTTTCACTTATGCAACACTTCTGTACATTTGAAGTTCTTTCCAACTAAAATTTTTAAAAATCAGTATCACTGACTAAGATTATTATGTATCTAAAATCCTGACTGTCTATTTTCTATGCATTACCATAACAACATGAACCAGTTCTGCAGATAACAATATGATGAGTACTCAATCAATGTTAGCAATTGCTATGTGCCAGGCCCTTTGCTAAATGCCTGAATGCACTGTTTGTCAATAGGCATCTTGTAATCAAAGAATACCTTCTATCCCTAATGGTATTATCCATTACCAACAAACCTTAACACAAAATATAAAAAATTAAAGTACACAATTTAGTTGACTATGACAAGCTCACAAGTTCTATTTAATTTTTTCCATGATGAGGGATAGCCAGGTATAACTCACATTTTATTTATTTGGTTAAAGATTTATTTTTAAAATTTTGTTTAAATTTTATTTTTTTATTTGTCAGAGAGAGAGCACAAGCAGGGGGAGTGGCAGGCAGAGGGAGAAGCAGACTCCCTGCTGAGCAAGGAGCCTCATGTGGAACTGGATCCCAGGACCCTGGGATCATGACCTGAGCCAAAGGCAGACACTTAACTGACTGAGCCACCATGCATCCTTATATATTTATTTGAGAGAGAGCGCAAGCGCGCACTCACACAAGTTGGGGGAGGGGCAGAAGGAGAGGAAGAGAATCTCCCACAGACTCCCCACTGAGAGCAGAGCCTGGTGTAGGGCTTGATCTCACAACGCTGAGATCATGACCTGAGCCAAAATCAAAAGAGTTGGATGCTTAACCAACTGGGCCACCCAGGAGCCCCTATAACTTTCATTTTAATTTATTATTAACAAAATATTTTTCTGGACAATATGAGGCACTCTATAAAATGATCCTATTCTAAATTTATCTGCATTCAACTGATTGTTAATATAATGGCAAAGAATATAAATAAATAACTTACACTTTGTTAATTTCTTTGGACTCTGTGAAGGCACTGGCTGGTTGTCAGTGTGTGAAAGAGGAACTTCTAATCCCCCTTGCAAGGCCCAGCCTGGGGGAGGGAAGGAATTATCCATTGTTAGTCAAGTAGGAAGCAGCATCAGAAAAAATATGAAAAGGTAAAAATAACTAATGAGTCCTCAATTCTATCAGGGTGAGATTCTACAATGTAAGACATAGAAGACACTTAAAATGTATCTGCAATTATGTATTTTAGTCAAATCATCTAAGTTTAGTTCCAGCTAGAATTAGACTTCCTTAGTTTTCAAAGTGGTTTTGAAATAAATACATAAGTTTTCTTTTCAAACAACTGCAAATAGATAAGGTATAGAAAGAATGTCTAAGGAGTTGGGAGAGAGGAAATAGACCTGCCAATTAGAATCTTGAAACCTTTAAGTATGTTTATACCCCTGGACTCAGTAATCCTATTTCTAGAAATTTATCTTAAGGAAATAATTTAAGTGAAGGAAAAAAAGTACACGTATGATTATGTTTATTGCAGCATATCTATGAAATGAAAAACTCATAACACTAAGGAAGGAATTATGGGAGATAAGTGTGACAAAATATCATGCGGTCATTAAAAAGTATCATTATGAATACTCTTAGTAATACTATTACTAAGACATGAAATGTTTGCCTGTAACATGAGAAATTATTTAGGCTATAATTAAAATACAGCACTAGAAATGAAATTAGATTGTCCTGCCTTCTACCTTCCTTGTACAGAAGAGTTCATTTGAGGCCAATGTTCTTACTTAGGGTTCCTAGAACATAGCTCTTTTAACTCAGGGCAGCTCACTTTCCTGGTTTACACTGCAGGAGAATAAGAAGACATACAGAAAAGGCGAGTGAAGTAGGAAGAGTCCTGTAGTAGGAGGCAGAAGACCAGATTTTGGTTCCCTCTTAATTGTTGACTGCCTGGTGATCTTAAGCAAGACACTCACTAAACAGAGTATCAGCTGCCTCAGCCATTGCCTGGGAACATCCTGTCAGCCTGCAGGTGGGGACCAGAACAGATGCTCTGAGTGGTGAAGAAATACTGTTGATAATGTACTGCCAGGAAGGAAGAAAAGAATCCAGTGCTGCTAGAGATGTGGCACGTTAAGGAGAAAGAGCAGTAGGATTTCACGTGGAGAATGAATCTGTTTGTAAATCTGTGTAACTATTAGGCCAGTGATAATGCATATGAGTAATTGTTTTCTAAAATTTTATAGTAAAACATCTGAATTTTCCTAGATAGAGTGCCTCTTTATCAAATAATACTGTATTCTTACTTTTAGGCTATTTAACAAATTCTTACTGAGTGCTTATTGAATTGCTATTTTATTTTTTGAGCTAAGTTTATGCTGCTGTCACAGAAGGAACAAAGATAAATCACCCCACAGGTCGTGCCCTTGAGGTGCTTACAGATTGGATAAAGTATGATGGTCTTGCAGATACAGTATGAACATAAGTATTTTAATACAAAGTACAATGCATTAAGATACTGTTAGGTGTTGTGAGCCATTTTCTCAGGGATAAAATCTACTAGGGGATGGAAGACCCCTGTCTGGGACAGAAGGAAAGATGAACTGTGATTCTAGTCATGAAAACAGAGCACTATGGGAGGCCAGAGGCAGGAGAAACCACGCACTGGGCAGGACTGAAGAAATAGTCAAGTGTTGACCGCCATGGAGAAGACACTGGATTGGGAATCTAACGCACAGGCTCAAGTCCACGCTCCATTACTGAACATCATAAGTAAAAGCAGCAACACAAGCAACGATGTCTCAGAGGGATCTAAAAATAGTCAATATAGTTACAGAAAATGCTAAGTGTTTTGAAGTAAGCTAAGATAAGAGTGGAAATACAGGCACAAGTTTTATCCTAGAGCCCATAGTGCTTTTTTTTTCCCTTTCCAAAGTATTTATTTTAAATCCTCTGCATGTGAAGTCAATAATTCCACCTGCAACAGTGCACAACTTCAGGGGCATCATGCATTTTGTGCAACTCAATGGTTCTGTGATATTGTGCTACACACAGGGGATATTAGGACATGCAATAAAGGACATTCTCTGCCTTCGTGATTCTTAAAACCTCACGGAAGGGCATGGACATAAATAAGGTCACTATCAAATAAATGAAACACTGTAAAGATATAACCGGAAATGATGAGTGAGCCAGAAACTGAAGGATGAGGGAAACATAAAGAGTTGAATGAAGGAGGGCATGCGGGCAAATGTCCTGGGGCACAAGCACTGTGAAGCATACTTGTCACTGAAAGCAGAGTGCTGACGTCAGAATCTGCCTCTTGGAGAAAGAACTCGGGGAAGCATGGAAGGTGACCTGGGATTTGGGCGGCCTGGTAGGAGGCCTCTTGCAGCAGCCCAGGAAACCAAATAAGGCTCTAAATGCCTCTGGTAATAGAGGTAGAAAGGAGGAATGTGAAACTGGAGACATGTTTTAGAAATAGAATTGACAGTACTTAGCAACCAGTGTGGAAGTGGGTTTGAACAAAAGGACTCTGAAGGTGCTGGGTTGGACACAGGCTGGTGGGGCAGTAGGTCAGTAGAGGGAGTCCCTGACATAGAAGCAAAGCAGGTGACCCTTAGGAAAACACCCTGCCCAGCTTTCTACCACCATCCTCCAGGCCTGCTGCCTTGCCCGGGATGCTGCCGTGGAACAATCCTTGTCTACTAGAATGCATGGGAAGAGAAAACAGCAAGCTCGGCTAGATGGAAGAAATGGTATCACCTGCCCTACACAGGGGTAACTTAGCAGGGCAAGTTTAAAACAAGACCCTGATTTTCTATGTAGAGAAGACTTCTAGGCAAGTCAATGTACAAAGTGTGGGGTTTGGCAGAGGGAGCAGGACAGCAGCTCTTGTTTCATGCCCGTCGATATACTCCAGTGGTAATATTTTTTATTTTTTCAGGTGAGACACAGATTTCATCTAGTAGTACTGAAGTTAAATCAATATCCTTGTTGATTTTAGCATCCACATACACATAGTTTTGCTTCACAAAGATAAAGTCAGTCATGAGTGTCTAAATGTTTCATAGGCACTTACTGTTAAAAGCTCCAGCAGCATGAAGGCCAAGGTCAAAGAGCTGTGAAGGAAGGAATCGTGAGGAATGAGCAAGAGGCTCAGACCCCACAGCAGGCTCCCGCAACATGAAGCTGGCGCCAGGGCTCCCAAAGGCAGTCTGGCATTCTTGGGTAAATTCACCAATACTTGAAGAACCAGGACTTAGAAGGTTGTTGAGAAATGAGAATTCCCTCTCAAAATCATCTTCCAGTGAATCTATAGGTAAATCTTTTGCAACTGTTGAGTGAAAATAAAAAGAATGGCTTTTTTCTTTTTGAGGAAATGAGAGTAGGACATGGGGCAAATCAAATTTGTTTCATTGTTCTCATACATTAATGTAATTTTTCAAAGTTTTTAAAACAATTTATAATGACCAACTAAACTGATTGGAAGTTTATGAGAAATTATTTCTAATTGCGTAGGCTAGTCTCTAGAAATTGTTCCAAGGACACACATGAGGAAACATTTACTCAAGACAATCTATTAAAATTCAGACTATGGTATTTGAACTAAGAATCACTCCCTTCCTACCACCATCCCAATTCAGCACAATGGAAATTCAACTCTAGACCTGTGCGGCCAAAAATATAAGGCTCCCTTCTCCCCCCAGTTGTGTTCCCAGGAGGGGCAGGATGTCAGCATTACCCATCCTGTCCTGAGTAACTTGTTGGCTAAGTCTGGGCAGTGCAGTCAAGAGGTGCAAGCTCCCATTTCCCACCCAGATAACAAGACCACAGTCATAAGATGGAGATTCTGATTTGAGTCTCAAAAGGATGGGGGGAGGGGGAGAATTTGAAGAAAAAATGGATATTTCCCAAATTTCTTGAAAACATCAATGTACTCATTCAACAAGCTTAATAAAACCGAAGTAGAATCAATATAAAGAGATCCATATCTAGATACATCATAGGCAAACCACTGAAAGTCAAAGAAAATCCCCACATTCATAGATTGGAAGAATCAATATTGTCCAGATGGCAATTAACTCCAAATTGATGTATGAATTCAACATAATACCTATCAAAATCCCAGTAGGCTTTTTTGGATAGAAATTGACAAGATGATTGTAAAATTTTTATGGAAATGCAAAGGAGCTAGAATAGCCAAAACAATTTGGAAGAAAAAAAAAAGAACAATGCTGTTGGAGTTATACCACCTAATTTCAAAATTTCCTATAAAGCCACAATAATCAAGATAATATGGTACTGACCAAGGACAGATATACAGATCAGTGGAACAGAAACTAGAATCCAGAAACACAACCTTACATTTTTTTTTGGTCACTGGATTTTAACAAAAATGCCAAGAAAATTCAATGGAGAAAGGACTGTCCTTTCAATAAATGGTACTGGAACAACTGGATGTGCATATGCAATAAACAAAAACAAAAATTAAGGGGCGCCTGGGTGGCTCAGTCGTTAAGTGCCTGCCTTCAGCTCAGTTCATGATCCCAGTGTCCTGGGATCGAGCCGCACATAGGGCTCCCTGCTGAGCTTCTCCCTCTCCCAGTCCCCCTGCTTGTGTTCCCTCTCTCACTGTCTATCAAATAAATAAATAAAATCTTAAAAAAAAAATCAAAAGACTTACCTACCTCACACCATAAACACCAATTAACTCAAAATGATCACAGTCCTACATACAAGAACTAAAATTATAAAACTTCAAGAGGAACACATAAGAGAAAATCTTCATGACTTTGGGTAGGGAGAGTTTCTAGATAGGATACCAAAAGAACATACAAGAAAAAAAATAAGTTGAACTTCATAAAATTTTTAAAATTTTGTTTCAAGAGGCAAGATTAAGAAAATAAGACTGGGATATATTTACGAGTCATATATCTGACAAAGAACTTGCACCAAGAATAAAGAAATCTTGCAACTTAATAATAAGGTAAATGACCCAAATCTGCCTTCGGCTTGGGTCATGGTCCCAAGGTCCTGGGATCAAGCCCCGCATCGGGCTCCCTGCTCCATGGGAAGCCTGCTTCTCCCTCTCCCACTCCCCCTGCTTGTGTTCCCTCTCTTGCTGTGTCTCTCTCTGTCAAATAAATAAATAACAAATTTTTGAAAGAAAAAAAAATAGGCAAATAGGTCTTCATAGATTTGTCAACAAAGAAGATATATGGATGGCCAATAGACACAGGAGAAGATACTCATCATAAATCACTGAAGAAATGCAATTAAAGCTACAAATTAAAAGCACTAGAATGTACATGTTAAAAAGACAATACCAAATGTTGACAAAGACATGGAAAAACTAGACACCTCATTCTTTGCTAGTGGGAATGAAATGGTAGTAGAGCCATTTTGAAAAAACAATTTGGCAGTTCCTTAAAAAGAGAAACTCAAATTTACCACATAATCTAGCAATTCCACTCCTAGGAATCTAACCAAGAAAAATGAAATCTTAGGTCCATACTCGGGTAAGTATTTGAATGTTCATAGAAGCAACAATATTGTAATAGCCAAAAACTGTAAATAAGCCAAATGTCCATCAACTGGTAAATGGATAAATATAATGTGGTATATCCATACAATGGAATACAATCATGAATAAAAAGTAAGGAATCAGAGTTAGCAAAATGCAGCATATACATATAATGGAATATTATCTAGCCTTATAAAGGAAGGAAATTCTGCAACATGCCACAATATGGACGAACCTTGAGGACATTATGCTAAGTGAAATAAGCCAGTCACAAAAAGACAAATACTGTATGATTCCACGTACATGATGTACTTGGAATAGTCAAAATCGTAGAGACAGAAAGGAGAATGTTGGGTGTTGGGGGCTGGGCAGAGATGGGGTGATGGGGAATTATCGTTTAATGGATACAGACTTTCAGTTTTATAATGAAAAGAGTTACAGAGCTGGATGGTGGTGATGGTTGAATCTTATGTATTTAATACCACTGAATTGTACACTTAAAACAAGATGGTAAATTTTATGTGTATTTTACAGTTAAAAATTTAAGGAAAAAAAAAGTAATGAACTACTGCTATATGCAACACATGGATGAATCTAGAAAAACATTAGCCTTAACGGAAGACATCTAAAGCCAAACACAAGACTACCTTTTGTACAATTTCAGTCTAGGAAAGGGAAATTATTTATAGAGACAGAAATCAGATTAATAACCTCCTAAGCCTTAGAGTTGAGAGTGAGGATTGTAAACAAGTATGAGAGAATGTGGGGAAATATTCTAATATTCAGTGTGGTGACTGATGCACAACTCTATAAATTTAATAAAATCACTGAATTTTACATTTAGAATAGGTAATTTTTTTTAAAGATTTATTTATTTGAGAGAGCGAGAATGAGAGAGAGAGAGTACATGAGAGTGGGGAGGGTCAGAGGGAGAAGCAGTCTCCTCGCTGAGCAGGGATCCTGATGTGGGACTCGATCCCGGGACTCCGGGATCATGACCTGAGCCAAAGGCAGTCGCTTAACCAACTGAGCCACCCAGGCGCCCCTAGAATAGGTAATTTTTTAAACTTACATCTCAATAAAGCTCTTAAAAAAATCAAGAGATTTTACACAAGTCTATGCAAATAAATCTGACAATCTAGACAAAATAAAAATTTTCTAAATTTTTATTTAGAAAAATAAAATTTACTAAAATTGATCCCAGTGCATATAAAAAGATTAAATAGACCAATTTCCATAAATATTTATCCCAGTCATCTTATTTTCTTAATTATGCTTCTTGAAACACAAAATTTTAAAAATCTATTTTTTTGATACAATTTCTATAGAGAAGAAAACACAAAAAAGTACCAGGCCTAAATGTTTTCACAGGGAAATCAACAGCAATGCAAAAATAGTAAATAAAATATCAACAAATTAATGCACAGTGACAAAGTGGGACTTATAACTGGAATGCAAAGATGGTGTAATATCAGGAAACCTATTAATACAGCTCATCATATTAATACAGTTAAGAAGAAAAATCAAATAATTGCTGGCATAGATACTGAAAAAGCTGTTGGCAAAATTCAACAACCATTCCTAATAAAAACTCTTCAGAAATTAGAAATGTATGGATACTTCTTTAACTTGACAAAACATATACCGCATATCAAAAACCAACATCCTAATTAATTCAGAAACATTATAGGAACTTGCACTAAAATCAGGAAATGCCCACCACTATTTAACATTGTTCTGGAGGTAGTAACTAATGCAATTAAACCAAAGAAATCAATTACAGTAACAAGAATTGGTAAAGAAAGAACAGGGTTATCTCTTATTTGCAAATGACATGTTGGTATACCTGGAAAACCCTAGACAATCAATGATAAAACTAACTCAAACTAAAAAAATTCAGCAAGGTAGCAGCATATAATATTAACATGCAAAAAATCAATACCAATTATATACACAAAATAATAACCAGTTAAAAATACAATGGTAAAGGGGCACCTGGCTGCCTCAGTTGGTACACAACATGCGACTCTTGATCTCATGATCGTGAGTTCGAGCCCAACGTTGGGCATAAAGATTACTTAAAATAGATATATATTACACATATATATGTATATAAGACACATATATACATATATATGTATATGAAAAGAAATATAAATATACATATGAAAAGAAAACCTCACTTATAATGGCAACAAAAAAATAAAATACTTAGAAATAATAAGAACTGCTCAAATCCTCTATGAAAAAAACCATATAAAAGATATACAAGGAAATTTTAACAAATAGAAAAATGTCCCTTGTTTCTGGTCAGGATGTCTAAGCACCATCAGGCTGTCAGTTTTTCACATTTAATGTGATCACCATAAAGGTAACAATGAGCCTTTTTATGGAGCTAGACAATATGATATAAAGTTTCTATTGAAAAATAAACATGCAAGAACAGCTAAGAAAATGATGAAAAGGATACTAGCCCTCCCGGATATAAAAACAAAAAAGAAAGTTTCTGTAATTAAAACCACATGGCACTGGCGCATGCATGCATCAATGAAATATAAAGAAAGTCCAGAAACAGACCCAAGTACATATAGAAACCTCGTATATGATTGGAAGTTATCTCAAATTCCTATGGCAAAGATAGCATTTAAAAAAATGATAATAAAAGGATGCCCACTTGCAAAATGATAACATTTAAGCCACTGCTAGTACCATATGGCTAAATAAACTCCAAGTGAATTGGAGATCTAAATGTAAAAAATAAAAGTATACAAATACTAGAAAACAGCATAAATGAACTCTTCTAACCTGGGTTTTGCATATGACAAAAATCAAGATCCAATAAAAGAAAAGATTAATAAATTTACTACATAAAATTAGTTTTAAAATTTACATGCAAGAAACAACTACATGAAAAGTCAAAAGACAAGTGACAAAGTGGGAGAAAATATTTGCAACATAAGTGATTGGGAAAGATATTCAAAATAGTATTTACTGAGTGTCTACAACTGCTGGATGGTGGAGGTACACCAGACGGAGACAGACACTGTCCCACCAGTCCTCACAGTTACACAGATACATTTGGACAAGGGCCCAAACATATAAAACAAATAATGACTTCATTTCCATTGTGATGTGCTACAAAATAGAAATAAAGGGTTGTATTCCTGTGTAGAGACCTATACAGGTTTTAATGTTAAGGAAATAATTATTAAATTAAAACTAAAGAATTTTAAATAATAAATTATCCATATATAATGAAATTATAATTTCTTACCATTTTCAGAATTAGAAAACTGAGGTGCTCCAAATTCTCTTATTTGAAAATGTTTTTCCTCGTGATCTTCGGCTGCTGAAACAAAAGCACATAAATGATAAGCTAGATAAGGAGAAATCTAGCATGCTTATTTACTGTAATATTTTATAATAATTCAGCCTAGGGGCGCCTGGGTGGCTCAGTCGTTATGCATCTGCCTTTGGCTTGGATCATGATCCCAGGGTCCTGGGGTCAAGCCCTGTGTCAGGCTCCCTGCTCGGTGGGAAGCCTGCTTCTCCCTCTCCCACTCCCCCTGCTTGTGGTTCCCTCTCTCATTGTGTCTCTCTCTGTCAAATAAATAAATAAAATCTTAAATAAATAAATAAATAAAAATCACTCTTTCATATTAAAAATAATAATTCGGCCTAAGTGTGCAATTGACCAAATCAATTTATAATACATATAAAATGGAGATGTAAAAATTTAAAGAATTACTTTAAAAAAATCACATTTGTGTGTATGTGTATATACATGTGTATTTGTGTGCATAGACAGTCCCCTACTTATACTGGTTTGACTTACAATTTTTTGACTTTATAATGACACAAAAGAGATACACATTCACTAGAAACTGTGCTTCAGATTTTGAATTTGATATTTTCCCAGGCTAGTGAGAATACAATACTCTCTTGTGATGCTGGGCAGCAGCAACAAGCCACAGCTCCCAGTCAGCCATGTGCTCACAGGATAAACAACTAATACACCTACAACCTGCCGTACCCATAAAAACATTGTTTTCAGTTTCAGCATTCAATAAATTACATGAGATATTCAATACTTAATTATAAAATAGGCTTTGTGTTAGATCATTTTGCCCACCTGCAGGCCAATGTAAGTGTCTGAGCACGTTTAACAGAGGCCAAGATAAGCTATGATGTTCTTATGTTAGATATAGTAAATGCATCTCGACTTATGATTATTTGCTTTTTTTTTTGGTATAGAAAGAAAATACCTTTTTTATTTTTTTGATTAAAAAATTTTTTTTATTTTAATTCCAGTATAGTTAACATACAGGTGTTGTATTAGTTTCAGGTGTTCAACTTAATGATATTTTCAATTTACAATGGGTTTATCAGGACGTAACCCCATCTAAAGTTGAGAAAGATCTGTAATACAATATATATAATTTATATATATATGTGTGTGTGTTTGTGTGTATACACACACAAATAACTTTATAATACCCATAGGTATTCAGGTCCTTTGTTACATCTATGTCCCCTTGAAAATTAAAAGTTTTCACATTCCATGTAAATTGGTACAGCTACTATGGAAAACAGTATGGAGGTTCCCCCCAAAATTAAAAATAGAACCACCAAATGATCCAGCAATACCGCTTCTGGGTATTTTATCTGAAAAAACAAAAAAAACCACACAAACAAAAAAACCAAAAACCACTACCTCGAAAAGATATATGCACCCCCATGTTCACTGTGGTATTATTTACAATAACCAAGACATGGAAACAACCTAAGTGTCCATCAATGGATAAATGGGTAAAGAAAATGTATATACACACACACACAATGGAATATTAATCAGCCATTAAAAAAATGAAATCTTGCCATTTTTAACAACATGGATGGACCTCATAGATATTATGCCATGTGAAATAAGACAGAGAAAGACAAATACTGTATGATCTTGCTTATATGTAGAATTTAAAAAACAAAAAGACAAACAAAAACCAAGCTCACAGACAGACCAGATTTGGTGGTTGCCAAAGGCTGGGGATGGGGGGGGGTGGGCAAAATAGGTAAAAGGGGTCAAAAGGTATAAACTTCTGGTTATAAAATGAATAACAGGTATGTAATACAGCATGGTGACTAGTTAATAATACTGTATTGCATATTTGAAAGTTGCTGAATAAGTAAATCTTAAAAGTTCTCATCACAAGAAAACAATTTTCTGTGTATGGTGATGGGTATTAACTAGACTTATTGTGGGGATCCTTCCACATTATATACAAATATCAAATCATTATGTTGCAAATCTGAAACTAGTATGTCATTTATACCTCAATTAAAAAAAAGTTTTCACATTCAGAAGCCTATCCCTTCCCTGGTGGACTTGTGTCTAATTCTGTATTCTCTGAAAGTCCATTTTATGTTTTATTCTGCTTGATCTCCGTGTCTCTGCACAATAGATACTTATTTTATGTGCATAGTTGTAAGCAGCTTCTCTGCATTCCTCATCTCCACCAAAGTGAGAGTAATTTCATGTGAAGGGAAAGATCAAACATAAGTGCTAAAAGACAGCATACTCCCAAAGCTCCCCAGGCAAAAAAAAATTGTTTAAAAAAAAAAAATCTCCAAGTTTGGGGTGTATACTGAGACAAATTATGCCCTATCATTAATTTGGGATCCAGTTGCCCACATAATTTACCTGTACCTCATTTACAACCCAGTATAAACACATAGACCAGAAAAAAAAAGCAAAGAAAAACAAAAACAAAAAGCCCGAGATTTTGACATCTTTAACTATTATCAAGGATACTTTATAAAGAGATAATGAAATGTAAATGTCTCCTATGTAAAACATGAATCGTGTTGCTGTATAGTGAGCTTAGAGGGTGTAATACATCTAAAGACAAGGTAGTAATATCTCTACTACACTCTTCTTAAAATTTGATGCTCAATTTGGGATACTACAAAAGAAAATGGAAAAAGTTAAGTCAGCTAAAGCAATCAAAAGAAAACCAAAATCAAAAGAAAGGTATAAGGAATTCAGTGTTATTTAGCTTTAAGATAAAGAAGCAAAGGATAAATTAAGTTCAAATAGTATAAAGATGGTTTAAAACTACAAAGGATAAAAAAACAGACTATCAGTAAAGATTTCAGTTGAACTTTGGAAAAATCTGAGTATGGGAAAGAGATTCTGGAGGTGGCTAGAAAAGGAACTGAAGAGGAGAATAAGAGTTTGAGGGCAGGGAAGGAATGGGTGACAGACAGTCACACGCCATGGAAATTTTGGTAAGCTACAGAAACAGAGTTTGGGGAATGGAGAGGTACTAAAGGATCTTTAAGGAGATGTTGCTGTATAAGACACAGGTTAATCTCCCTCCTCTCTCTTCCCCAGAAACCTTTAATAATGATCTGCTTTACTCCACATTGCTTTTGGTACTTACATGGGGTTTGGTTTTCTTTCTTTCTTTTAAGATTTATTTATTTCTTTAAAAGAGAGAGAGCGTATGAGTGTGTGGGGAGGGGCAGAGGGAGAGAAGCAGACTCTGCTAAGCACGGAGCCTAACATAGGGCTCAATCCCATGGCCCCGAAAACACGACCTAAGGCAAAATTAGGAGTCAGACACCTAACCAAATTGAGAGAAACCAATAAATAATAAAGACACCCGACCAAGGACTTCAAATATGTGTATTTTTAGATATAGATATGAGACAAAAGGTGAGAAAGAACAAAATACTATAAAAACCAACGAGGCACAGACTTGTAAAATAAACAAATAGGACTCTTAGAAATAAAAAGTAAGCTTGCTGGGGAGGTGGGAAACTCATATAGATTAAACAGATTAAATGCAAGAAGAGAAAATCAGTGAAAAACAGACCTGAAGAATTTACCTAGACCTGAAGAACAGAAGGAAAGGAGATGGAAAACATGAAAGAGAGGACGAAAGATATGAAAGATGAATGAAAAGTCCAACATAAGTTTACTGAGGTTCCAGAGGAGGAAATAGAGAAAACAGAGGAGAAGCAATATTTTAAAAGATAATGGTGGAGGTGTGCATATTTATCATATAAGAAAAAAAAAGATAATGGTTGAACATTTTCCAGAACTGGTAAAAGACACAGATACAGGAAATACAACTTATACTATGAAAGATGAAAAAACAAAAAAAACTCTGCACATTTAGACACATTGTACTGAAACAGCAAGAACACCAAAAACAAACAGCATATCCTAAAAGCACCCAGAAAGAAAAACCAAATTCACTAAATAATTAGACTAACAGAAGATTTCTCAACAGCCCAGGGAAAGCAGAAAACAATACAATATTCACAAAATGGTGAAAGAAAATACCAACCAACCTAAAATTGTTTACTGAGCAAAACTGTCTTTCAAAAATGAGAAATAACAATTATTTCCAGACAAACATAAGTCAAAGTTCACCACGATGGCATCTTTAGTTACAGAAAAGGAAAATGAGATCACAATGAAGATCTGAAATATATGAATAGTAACAAAGGAAAAATACTGGCAATATATAAATAACATTTCTTCATAAAAAAATACTTTTTATTGATTTGTGGGAGATCACAAAAAGAGAAATAAAACATTGAAGAATAATAGTTGGTGAAGTGAGATGGGAGTGACTGGGTTTAGTTTAAGATCTTTGTAATATTTTGGGAATACTGAGATAGTCATAAACCTAGCCTTTATTTCAAGTATGCATTATATGGGCACCTGGGTGGCTCAGTGGGTTAAAGTATGCATGATCAAATTCAAGGGAAATCACCAAAAACAGAAATAAGATGTGTAACTTCCAAACTAGTACATGGGAAAAAGGACTAAGAAATCTTTAATAACAAATGAAAAAACCTTAATCAATCCAAAATAAGGCAAAACAGGGGACAAAATAATGGGGTGGAAGAACAAAACAAAGAGAAAACAGAAAATACAAATCCAAATATAAATCATGATGATAAATGTAAATGGACTAAATTCATCAAACAAAGGAATGACAAACTGATATATGGGGCCTTTAAAAAAAATTCAGCTTAATTTATAAGAGACACACCCTAAGATATAAGAACATGGGAAAGTTGAAAGTAAAAGTGCAGAAAACGGTATACAAAGCAAATACTAACAAAAATAAAACTACTTAAGCTAAGCTAATGTCATACAAAGGAAACTATAAACCAAGAAGTAGTATTAGGGACAGAAGGGGTCATTATATTAATAACAGATTAATTTGCTAAAGAGATATAAGAATTCTAAACTGGAGCACCTGGGTGGCTCAGTCAGTTGAGTGACCAACTCTTGGTTTCAGCTCAGGTCATGATCTCAGGGTTGTGAGTTTG